TGTGTGTGTGTGTGTGTGTGTGTGTGTGTGTGTGTGTGTGTGTGTGAGAGAGAGAGAGAGAGAGAGAGAGAGAGAGAGAGAGAGAGAGAGGGATTCAAATGAAACAAAATGTCCTTACTTTAAAATACCAGAACTTTTAGTCTAGGAGAGATGAATATAGTAAGCAGTGCCTCAAGTCTTAGGACTAGTTTGGCAGATCTGGTAAATCTGTGTTGATGGAGTGGGTGTTTTGGTGTTGTTTTGCCCTTTATATTTTAATTAGTCATTGTTTTCTGATGCTGTCCTTTTTAATTATGAGTAGAGATAAAAGGCAGTTCAGAGTAAAGGCTGGGTTCACAAACCATTCCAAGCCATGCTTTGTTTGTTGAGGAAACTACTATTGGCTGGACTCCCTCATAATGCTGAATTATAAATGAGAGTCTACCATCCTCAGTGGCTGGGTTCATGAAATGTGCTCAGTTCAAACCAGGCAAACCCCATTATGGCTTAATGGGATGTATGAACCCCGTTTAAATGAGATTCAAATAATTTAGCTTACAATTTGATCTAGAATACTGGTTTTTAAAGGGAAAGTATACCCAGCTTGTCTTATAAGATGGCAAAATCTTGAGGTCTGCAAGTAATAGAGAGATGCACATTCTGTATTTTGATTTGATTTAGTCTAATTTCTAGTTAGGAAACAGAAAGGGTAATCAGCTAGTTGATTTAGGGTCCTTGGCCTCCTGCCCCAATTGAGTAGCCCCATGCTAGATCTCCCTCTGTATCAAGCAGCATCTTCTCATATGTCAGTGGGTTCTGCAGAAGATGAACCTGCAGTCCCAGGTGCCCTGAAATGTGTGTGAGAGACCTCTCCAGATCTTTATAGAATCTGGGCTCACCACCCACTTCATAAGTATGCCTCATTGAGAAACAGCTCCTTTGTGCACAGCGGCTCCTTGTTAAGTGAAGAGTGTGTGGCATTTTTCCTAGTTCCCACTTAATGAACCTCATTGCAAAATTGTGCCATTGGACAGAACTTTTGCATTCTTCTTTTTTTCCTTAAAAAACTAATGTTTTAAACAGGTCTCTTGGATTGTTTTCCAGGTCTGTTCTCAATTTTCACCTAGGAACTACAAGGAGGCAGGAAATTGTAATCGTCCTTTCTTTTGGCCCTTGTTGTTGAAAGGTCTTAGATCATCAGACTCAGTTATGATTATGCCAGAACTGCAGAACATACATGCTTAAAATAAATCTCCATTAAAAATGTGTGGAGTATTAAAATCATGGTTGAGTCAGAGCAGACACCAGTACTTTATCTTATGGCAACGTCACCACTTCCTAGGAATTATGAGGGTTGCAGTGTAACCTATCTAGAAAGCACTAGATTGGGGGAAGTCTGCTTTAAGGAATCCAACAGTTGACCAAACTCTCTTTATAAGATTCTGCAAGGATTCTGGTAATTGACAGCTTAAAAGATGATTCAGTCCCCTGTTTGCATGGCCAGGGGCAAAAGGTTTAAGTTCTAGGTTTATGCCTTTAATGCCTTTGCATTACACCAGTCAGAAAGAATTGAGACATGCAAGAAAACCTGCTTGAAGCCAGAGATTAGCTAGTGTTCCTTGAGTTTTTTTGTATGTGTGTTTGTGAGCTTAGGAGTCAGTGTTGACTCCTGGTGACTGCCTGGATAAATCTCTGCAGTTTTCTTGGCAAGTTTTTTGGAAGTGGTTTCCCCTTGCCTGCTTCCTAGGGCTGAGAGAGGGGGACTGGCCCAAGTCACCCAGCTGGCTTCATGCCTAAAGTGGGACTAGAACTCTGTCTCCCAGTTTCTAGGCTGGTTCTTACACTATGGTAAACTGGCTCTTTCCTTGCCAATGCTTGTTCAAAATAGAAAGTTTCTGGGTCAGTTGTGCTCCCTAATTGGAACAACTGGGGACTTGCTTTTCCTACTTTCAGATTTTGCTTCAACTTATCCTGAATATTGTTGGATTGGGACTCATGAACCAGTCCTGTAGAGTTAGAGTAGAGTTGCTTCTTTCTGAATTTAAAAGTAGATTAAACAGGTTGATTAGTTTGAAAAATGCCACACTTTTTTTTTTTCCTACAGTCATCCATTTGGATGAACTTTACCTTTGAATTCCTTCTTGACTCAGTGACTCAGGGCAGTTGTACACCTTCTGCATACAATGATGTTCATGAATCATTCTTGCAAAATAGTGAGAATTGTATGGTATGTTCTAAAGAAGGGGAAAGAGGCTGGTGATGAAAGCCAAATTCCATTATTATTATTGCAGTCCAGGCAGTAATCCTTTTTACACACTTGTTCACTTCAATAATATTGCTCTTCGATTTGAAATGGAGGGAGATGGGAGAAGAAGATGAGTATCTTCTAAACTTTTGGTCACCAGCAGGAATTTTTAGGAAAGACTGATTTTGGAAGATATGGAAACAGAAGGAAAGAAGGCATGGTAATGCCCAGATTATTCAGTCTTAGGAAATGGCAAAGAAGACAACTCTTGATATGGTGTACTCTGGCTGCTGTTGTTTCTACCTCCAAGATAAAAGGATCCATCAAATGGCTAGTATAAATGTGTTGTTGTTGCCAGGGGGGTGGGGGGTATAGTGGGTTTTGTATTTGGGATTTTTATTCCCACCCGGAGTCACTGTGAGTTGGGCTGACATATAAATTGTTTTTAAATTAAAAAAAATAAAATAAATCCATCTCCTTTGAGTTGACTTTAACTTCTGGTGACTTTATGGGCACATTGATGTGGCTTGTTGGTAAAGTATGGAAGTGATTTGTCATTAGCTTCTTCCAAGCTATTTGTATTTATCATCCTAATCTAGTTTATAGCACCAGGATTTAGTCTCCAATCCAAATACTTACCAGGACCAACCATGCTTAGCTTTTTTTGAACTCATCCAGTCTTGTTTAGATCCTGCCACAGCTGAGCCTGCTGCTAAGAGAACAGTAGAAAAAGAAGTGAGAGGAAGGATTACTGATTGCAGTTGCAGGAGGAATGTTTCACAGGGGAATAACATCTTTAAACATGTTACCAATAATTCTAGAGGGGACTGCTTTTCCCCATCTCTTCCCTTGCTTACTTTATTTCCAATACATTTATTTAGAAAATTTATAATCCCCAGCCTGTCCCTGCCCAGTTATTCTAACATCTCTCTTATATAAGTCTAGTCCTAGGATTCAGTTGGCTTTCTTCAATTGGGGAGGGGAAGAGATTTCTGTATTGGGGAGGGCAGCCAACTGGGAGATGGCTGAAGAAATTAAAGCTGTGTTGACCAGCTAGACTCATCTTAACAAACAAAATTAGTTACACTAAAATAGAAATACCTTAAACCTGCGTATAGTTGCATGGATGTAAAAATCCAATTCTCTTGTTGGTTTTGGAGATGGTACCCATGTTTCTTAGAAGAGATATATCGTAGAAGCATTCTCCTCTTGAGAGGAAGGGAGTGCTTCTTCAGAGATCGCTTCAAGTTATATTTTTGGAGACACTTAGATTAAGTCTTAGATTGATAAGATCTGTAGCAGAAACAAAGGAAGATGTGGGACTGAGATCTCTCTCTCTGTGTCTAAATACACTTCGTCCCCCCCCACCCCACCCCCACGGCCCCACAGTCACTGCTTCAGCTGCTGGCCGAACTTCTGAATGGCAGGATGCAACTTTCTTTGGCCGGGACAGGATACAGCTGGAAAAAGAACGATGGTGCTCTGTGGGTGTCCTTTGCAATCAAAAGTGGACAAGGCTGACTCAGGAAGAGTTTTCATTTAAATTAGCTTCTGCTTTTCAGCTCTGAAAGGCTTGTCCGCTTTCCAAGATGTCTGTGTTTATTTTCTTCCTTCTCTGTGTTTTGCTGATGGCATGACTTGTTTTTGAGACCTCGAATCCTGATGAGACGTGCGTTTTTTAAATAATCCCTTTTCCCTAATATCTTGGTCTGCGGCATGATTGAGTGGCAGGGATTTTGACAACACAGCCCCGTCTGCTAACCATGCAAAGCTTGCCAGTTATCCAGCAAAATTAAACCTTCACAATATTTCCACTCACTTGTCATGTGTTGCTATTTATGGCTGCTGGTTGATGGTCTTCCCATTGTTCCTCTACTCACTGTAGGCAGTTGGGGGAGGTGATTAATTCAGTCTTGATGCACCCTTCTTTTCTAATATTAATGTCAAGTTTTTTGCTTTTTGGTTTGTTTTTGTTTTTTGGCAAGCAACATCTACGTACAAATATCTGAGTATGTGATCCTTTAATGTGAGTGTACTTGGATTCTTGTGAATTTGTTTTATACATTATCATAGGTTCCTGGCCATGCTGCGCTGTGGAGGAATGATCTTTTCATTGGAAAAGAGGACGCTTTTACCACTTCTGATGCAGTTGGCATGGTCTGGGTGATTTTTGGTCTTTTGATGATCAAAGCCAGAGAAATGATTGTTCCAGAAATGTATTGCATAAAATGTGGAAAGATAAAACTTGCTACAAATGTGAAAGGCCACAATAGGCGTGTAATAAAAAGAGGGGGAGACAAAACAACAACAACGAAGAATCATAAAGCCCCATGGTTTTTATCCCCCTATTTTTTTTCTGGGTCTTCACATCTCTCCTAACACCTAACTTAATTTCTTGGATGTTAGTCTAGTATTCGTTTCTTGGGAGAAGTAAAAATGAAGAATTCCTAAAAAGGCTAAGCATGGTTGGGCCTGGTCAGTACTTGGAAGGGAGATTATCAGGAAATCCCAGAGATGTAGTAAGTTTGATTGAGAAACCCATTCTGAAAGAAGAAAGCAGGGACAACTACTTTTGCTCTGTTGCCAAGAAAACTGTATGGATGGATCAGTGAGTTAATAGGAGTTGAGGTCAGTTCATAGGTCGTTTTCTCTTTTTTGTATGAGTCCAACTTCTGAATGATGACACAATTTAGGTATTTATTTATCTATTGCTACAACCTTGTTTGTTTATTTATTGCTACAATTTACGTGTTGCTGCTCTTAGCAACTTAGATGATGAATATAATAAAATTAAAAAGAAAAATCAATCAGTACAATTATAATCAATCACCATCATTGAGATAGGAGAGTGCCACGTATGGTTATGCTGTTTGAATTTTAAAGCATCTGTGCGTTTGACAAATCTGGGGGGGGGGGGTTTCACTGAACTCCAGGGAGTGCCAGAAGGACCATTTGATATCTTTTAAGAAAGAGAGAGATGTGCAACATAACTTTTTTTAAAAACATATTTAATTGTGCCTTATTAAGTGAAAGCCTCATTCTCTTGGCCAGGCTCAGTGTAACTCAGAGTACAAGTGTCACTAGGTGCTTTATTTCTTAGAGGGATAATGTTCAGAGTCTCTGAGAAGCTTATAGAATTAATATAGTAAGATTAGAAACAAAATTCAATTAATACAATTATAATTAATCTGCTGCACCACCATTTGAGGTAGCACGCTCTTCCTTGTCCCCAAATGCCTTTCTGAATTAGATGCATTAACTTAGTAGTACTTCAGATGTCCTCCTCCTGATGTCTTCAGTTTCACTAGGGCTGAAACTCCTATAATTTCATTGCAATGTTTGGATCTGGTGGCTCAGAATTCTGAGAGGTTTCATCTTAATTCATATCTTGTATGCCAGTTGAGAAAGTCTACCTTGCTACAATCCTATAAGACTACAGGTTAAGCTGATACTATCATTTTATTGCAGATAGGTATGTGTGTGTTGCGGGGTGTGTGTGTGTGTGGATGCTCTGAAATGAATGGTTGCTCTGAGTAATCTTGACAGAAGCCCACATCAAGTTTGTTGTAGTTCTGCTGCTTTAGGTAGTTTTACTGCCCTTGATAAATTCACCTGCTGCCTTATGACTTGTCAGAGGCATCATCTTATTCGTTTGTTTGTTTGTTTATTTATTTAAAACATCTTTATCTCATTCTTCTATTAAAAACACTTTGGAAATCTTACCAAAATAAGTAAAAATTGGATTTTCTAAATTGAAAATCCACGCATAAACCAGATTTTTGAAAATGCAGTATATACCTTTGAAATAGGGAAGTACAAGTTGCTTTTAAAATGGAAAAAAAAAGAGTTTTGAAGATTTTCCTCCTTTTTTTTTTTTACAACGGGGTCTATTTTGTGAGTGGAAGAGATGAGGGAAGAAGGGTCTGGATTGTGTCCTCTGGCATGTGGCGGATCTAACCAGCTCGGAAATGGCTCTCATATGCTCTCCTTCCACAATTGCAGACAACATCTTTTCCCCCAAGACATAGACATCCTGAGGTCATTTCCTGACACAGGATTTAAAAGCAGTCTTCCCAATTGAATAGTCTAATCTCTCAGCCATTGTTCACTGGTATTCCCCAAGGCCAGTTCTACTGTTGGGCAGAAGGTGGTGGCTGCCTCAAGCTGCCGTTTCTTGGGGTTGAGGAGTGTGGCCAATGGCACCAACCTGTTGCTTCTTGTGACCCTCATTATCTTGGATCCTAGCCTAGAACGAGCATGCTGTTTCCCAGCAGTAAAAGATTAAAATGGTGATCCATCACACTGAAAAACTTGTCCACTAGGAACCCACATTGAAGACCACCAGTGAAGAGAAGGAAGTTCCTTTTCAATCAATTTTGTTTCTGAATGGGGAATCAAATTGCTTCCATGCTCTGCCCAGGGCCTCATGATGTTCCTTTCTCCCTTTGAAAACATCCTTATTTAACATCAGGGACGCAGTACAATTGCTCTTTTGTTTACACTTGAGCTGGCACCCTCCTCCTCTTTTTCCTACCACCCGTCTATAGTGTCTCTTCCCCTTCCCCTTGGCCCCCATCACTGCTGTTTGCTTGAATACCTTAGTTAGGAACAAAGGATTTTTTTTGCCCAGGACATGTATCAGACATGGAGTTTTCCAAATGCAAAATTTGTCCACCAGCTGGGAACTGACTCATCATAGTCATCATAGATTCATCCCTGTCATCTTGACCAGTGCTTCATGATGAATAAAACTTATCTATAATCAGTGTGTGTGACAAGCTATGAAACTTTGACTTATTAGACTATGGGGGGTGGGGAAATGTGACTTATGGGATGTGCCCATTTACATCACTGGCATCAATGGTGGCATTTGAAGTAAAATCTGGTTTTAAGGGACAGGTCTTCAATTTAATGGGCTGTAGATTGTTAGAGGGAGATGAAGTTCAAATGAAAATGTGTTGGTTGTATCCGAAGTCTGATAAATTGATATCTGTTAAACTAAGGGTTTATTATACTCATAGACATATATCCGTGCAAACCATAAAGTCTGTGGTTTGACTCCTGGGTACTTCACAAACATGCCTATGTAGTTTTCTTGGCAACCATACAGAAATAGTTTACCCTTGCTTTCTTTTGTATAGTTTTCATGACTTCCTGGTCTAGCCGACAGCCCTTGTACTCCAAAGAGATTTTCACCCATGTTCTAACCAGGCATGATCCTGCTAAGCTTCTGAGCCCAGCCACATTTGGCCAAATGCTGCCACCTGGTGAGACATCTTTCGATTGATTTAAATAGGAACTGTAGTGCATTTTTACTATTTTTTTAAAAAAAAAGGGGGGGGGGAGGTTCCAGTGGTTATTTATTTATTTGACAGATTTGGTAGTTTCAGCAGGAATGGGGAACCAATAGGCTTCCAGATGTCATTGTACTACAACAGCCAACATGGGAAGGAAGTGGGAGAGGAAGCTCATCAACATGTGGAGACCCCCTGGGTCTCCCTCCTTGCCCTTTAGCAGGTATTCTCAGGGTATTATGTTGTAAGAATACAGATCATACCTATATAAAAATATACTGTACAGAATCAGCTAAAACAGGAATTGTAGGCTAAATTCCTGTAGGCTAGGGAAAGACAAGAACATATCCCCTGTCCAAACCACTGTAAGTAACTGTTTTGTAGGTGTTGCTCCTAAACTTTCAAGGGTATCTTTGCAATCAAATGATCTAGAAACTTGCTTTGTTTTCCCTAAAAGGACTGGAAGCTGAATTTTGAGCATAGTACTGTATTCTCTGCTCCCGTAGAATTAGAGTCTTGAGTGTAACAGTGTGTCTCCATTTAATTGTCTGTAAACCATAATACTCTCCCTTCTCTCGGCATGTATTCCAGTGCCACCTTCTCTTGCACAGACCTGTTCTTAAATCTGTTTGATGTGCAAACCTGAGTGGTATGTTCCTTTGTGTTCTTCTTTCCTCGGTCTCACCACCCTTCGATGCTTCCAAAAGTATGTAACGTTCTAGTCTATTTCCATACGTACGATACTTAACTTAATTTGTCCGACATCTGCCATTTGGCTTGCCTGCTCAAATCATAGACCAGGAATGTGGCTTTGTTTCCCTTCACTGCAGACTCATCCATTAAATACATTTAAATAAAATGCTTGGCTTGCATTTTGAAAACAAAACAATTTTTGGAGGACCCTGATTATCATCTCTCAACTTTGGAAGGATGCATTTATTCCTGAAATAATAGTAGTTTTGAGCAGGTCTAGATAAGCTGTTAGTGTTGTGGAGGCAGCAGTGGATCGTTGAACCATGGTATCCTTCTGGACTGCCTGGGGGGATTAGGAGGGGGGCGTTACAGTGTTCTGGTGGTTCTCTTCCTTTCTCTGTGGTTGGATCCAGTCATTGTTGGCAATGGGGAGAGATCAAGCCAGAGATCCTTGACATGTGGGGTGCCTCAGGCCGTGACACTCTCTCCTCCTGTTTAATGTCATCATTGGATGAGGTCATCTATTGGTTTGAGATCAGGTATCATGCATCTCAACCCTAGGCTGACTAGGTGATGTCAAGGTCTTGTCCCATTGTCTGGGGGCTATGCAGGTTTGGATGGGAAGGAACAGGCTTAGCTCAACCCTGACAAGACTGAGAGGTTGTGGTATTTGAACCATCCAGGTTTGGAGATGTTCTGTACAGAGCTGTGCTTCCCCTTGTGGAATCGATATACAATTTGTGGGTCTTCTTGGACTTACAGCTCCTGTTCTATGAACAAGTGGCAGATGTGGCTAGGAAAGCCTTCACACAATTTCACCAGGAAGCCCTTCAGACATGCTTTGATCCCCTTGTGTTTGGACTGCTGAATACACTGCACAAGGGGCTGCCCTTGAAGATCTCTCACAAGCTACAGCTGGTCCAGAATTCAGCAGTATGGGCAGTTACAGGCATGCCATGATCTACCCACATAACACCTCTATGAGCTGCACTGGTTACCAGTAGATTTCCAGATGCAGTTCAAGGCACTGGTTATCATCTATAAAGTGCTTCATGGCATAGACCCTGGCTTCTTGAGGGGCCGCCTGGCTTCTGTAGTTTTACAGATGCTTGTTTTGACATTTTCTATATTGTATCATTTTGTTTTATTCTGTACACCGCCCAGAATTTGTGATGGAGTCAGGTACTTTATAATTTTTACAAACAGATACATTCATGATTGTCTCAATGACATTGGGAAATGGCCAGTCCTGGAAGCTAAATGCCAAATAACAGATTGAGGTCTAGGATTGGCAAGTATAATGGTATGTGGGAAAGGCCTTGGGAGATGGGGCAAAGAGATGCCTTCAGGAAAGAGGTGAAATCCTGGCTGTGCCAGAAAGCCTGGGGGCCAAATGGGGGCTCGCACCAGTGGAAGTGGCTTGTGGGGTGATTGACCTTGCCCCCCCATCATCCTGAATGTTTTAGTATTTATGTACAGGGTTTGTTGTCTATATTTGATTTTTAATGGATTAATTTATTTTAATTATTTATGGGGGGGTTAATTGTTGGTGGGGTTTCTGATTTTAATTGTGAGCCACCCAGAGTCACCTGTTGGGGGGAGATGGGCGGCATACAAATTTAATAAATAAAATAAATAAATAAATAAATGCTGCCTAGAGAACGGTCAGATAAGAGAGAGCATAGCCTGCAGGTGCATAGTGGGTGGAGAGAGAGGCTCAGAAGGGACCTTCCCTAAGTTCTCAGGCTGTAAAGGTGATGGCGGGAGGACTGTACTTTCAGATTTGCAAGATTCTGTTAATGTAGCTTTATAATAAAGTAGAATTAGTTCATCTGGTCCTGTTTCCTGTCTGGTCTACCTGGTAAGGCTGACACCAAGACAGCATTCCCAGAAATGCTACCTGTTCCACACACTGGGCCAGCTAGATTCAAGGGGACCCAGTGTGTGAATGGGACAGTAGTGCCAGAAAGGCACCCAGGAATGATTTGGGATAACCTGAACCTTTTACAAGAAGAGCTGGCATCACTTGAACAGATATAGAAGAAGGTTGGCAAAGCAGCTTTTAAACTGATCCTTGGGGAAAGCACCTAGTTTGGAAGATATTTTAGTAAATACTAAAAGAATAGGATCAATGCTGGGAAGTGGGTGAATGGCTTGGTTGTTTCAGTCAGGAGAGGAAAAGAAGGCAGGGTATGAAAAAGACTCATGCCAACAACGTTTGAAAAAGAACATGATATATAGTTACTTATATGCCAGTGGCAGAAGTCTCTAACCCAGATGGGGGAATGAGAGTACTTCTTGTGAGCAAGATCAGAGTTAAAGTGGTGGAAAGGAGAGGAACCCACGAGACACTGCCCTTTATAGCAAGGAGGGAAGAGTGCACTGGGAGAGGTGTTGCTCTTTATGTAGGAGCAGACCAGATTCCTCCATAAAATCATTATGGGTGGCAACATCTAATCCTAAATGTAAAATATATCTAGGGATGTGATGAACTGATGAAAAATACTGAGGGTTATTTTTTTCATAATATTTTTATTAAAGTTTATATATATAAAAGCTAATACAAAACTAAAAGACCTACAGACAAAAGGGGAAGGGGAAGGAGGGAGGGAGGGAGGGAGGGAGGAAGGAAGGAAGGAAGGAAGGAAGGAAGGAAGGAAGGAAGGAAGGAAGGAAGATAAAAGATGACTTCTCTCTCCCTCCAAGTAAGTATATGCATTAACAGTAACTTTACACCTTCTCTAATATTACAGAAAAAAGCCT